CCGTTTACCGGACTGGATATATTGGGCCTTGGATCCGGATAGTGGGCATGCGGCCCAATATCCCAACAGTCCAAAAAGGTGAAATCTCCCACCCCAGGAGCCCCCCACCGACCCGACAGGATGGTGGGGAGGTTAATCACGGTGACTCAGTCAGCAAAGCGGTGGTAGGCCTTATAAACGTGCGCAAAGGTCCAGCCTTATTTTAGGTTCTGTAACCTCCACACGGCCGTTGCGGGTTTCGAATCTTGGTCACTTGGTCCGATTTTCCCACCACTCGACCAACTGAGCTACCCGTGCGGGTATGACTATTAGTTACTACTCTAGTCACTAGTCACATTTTTGTAAAGAGTCTTGATTTTAGTCATAAATAGGTAATTATTTTCTTTATTGACCCATACTTTTTAGCCATTCACCGATTTATTGAGTTGGATAAATTAGAACATAGTCAATAGAAATGTATAGTAATGACTAATGTAATGTAATTAAGATGTCTTTGTATTGTCTAATGGAAAATATCTACATGTCATAATTGCCATTCAAGAACGCTACGAAAAACTTCAATACGTATAAATTAAATCAGGGGAAATTCTTTACTTTTTTCTTACCCCGGAAGCCCAACCACAGAGAAAATTCTTTACATAGAACTAAAATATAGATAAAATATAATGATCACATAAGACCATCATTGTTTTCTTACTAAAATAAGACTTATTTACTCCTGGTAAGGGAAGTTATACACTTTTAGTAGGATCAAATGAGCCTTGTTTTAGGAATAAATACATATAGCTAGTCCTATTTGAGCACTTTGACAAATTCTATAGTCTATTTAGAATAATTTCTATATAAATTATTATGCATGTCGACATGTATACATTTTGTTTATTGCAACTGTTTTCGTCTTTATTTTAAGGTTCTTAATCTTTATTGTTGGTTTTTATTGATGTCTTAAATGTTTATCTCATATAATCACTATTTACAATTATATATATTTGCATAATATAGTGAAATATTTACTTGCACAGTATTTATGACTACACAAATTAAAAATTGTTTACAAAAATGTGACATCTAAATGTGATGATTATAATAGTAACTTTAATGCATCACCAATGGAGTAATGTCTAGTTTAAACAAAATGTGTGAAATATCAAATAACTACCACACTTTCTAATACACATAATATGAAGCGGAGTGACCTCACATTAAACTTTGAAAGAAACCTCCAATGCACCACGTCTTGCACCCAAGTGCCGCACCCTATTTCAATTTTTTTACTTAGTATATTGAAAGAAAATAAGAGTAATTACTCCATATATGATATGATCATTTTTTTCATATGCGGTTTGTTTATTTCAGCAATTAAAATAAAAAATCATATATATAGCCATCCTAAGAAAAAATATATATAGCCTGTAATAGCCACCATAGAAAAAAGAAGATATGTGTGTGTAATATATTTACAAAGATATATGTTCGAGAAAACTTGTGGAGAAAGCTCGAATAATACATATATTAAAAAAGATAGAATAATACATACTACCTCCGTCCCATAAAATTCTTCCCACTTTGACTTGGCACGGAGATTAAGAAAGTGGAAATGTATGGTTGTTGTTGTGTAAGAAAAAGGTGAAATGAATGTGAACCACACAAATTATCCAAAAATGTTAAGTGAGAAGATTTTTTTGGGACGACCCAAAAAGAAAAGTAAGAAGAATTTTATGGGAAGGAGGGAGTACATACGAATAGATGCAAGGATGTATATATAAATCCTCTTTTAATTTTTATAGACGAAGTATATAACAATAGGTGCAGGTTGAGATATGTGTTTATTCGATTATATTGTTTCTCAACAACATTACTATACGTATTCCGCTATTCTGGAGAAGAGATCGAAGAACGGCATACTTTTTATGTTTTCCTCTAATTCCGTTATTCTAAGCTTACAACACTTTCTATACTCAAACAATTACCCTCACAATGTGTAGCCGTTTTTTGCCAACTCATTATAATCAAATAAAAGACTATGTACATGTACATTGGAGGGGAATATATGGAAAATGTCTAATTTGATGAGGTGACATGCAGGGGCGGAGCTAGAAAAATGACTCAGGGGGTCGAAACTCAACGAATATGCAAAATGAAAATTGAGGATTGTTTTTAAACAATGTCCGAGTTGAATATTTCATATGTCGTTTAGATAAATAGGCAGTTGTAGCAATAAGATAGATTGTCTTTGCTCTGTTTCTGAGTCGTGTCATGCAAGTATTGAGTAAATTATACCCTATTTTTAAAATTTGGGAAAAAAATCTATAGTATGCATCAAATTATGTTGATTTTACGTTTAGATAGTGTTGATTTTCCAGAAGTAATAACTTTTTATTCGTAATGAGTTACGGGGGTCATAATATATCAAATCGAAGATATTTCAGAGTTCTACACTCTCAAACTTTCAGCGGGGTCGACTGACCACCCTGACCCCCTGGCTCCGCCCCTGGTGACATGTTTTTATATATACTACGTACTAGACTATGCCCATTGGGAATGCTCTTAGTCATATTTTTTGTTTTTTTTACTACATGGGGGATCTGGGGGAGGGGGGCTAGGGTTCCTGGAGTAATCAGGATTGAACCTCAGCCCATTGAGTTTCAACCCCTTATGTGCCTAGCGGGTTTCGAACTCGAAACCTCCCCCTAGACACGGTAACCTCGCAAACAGCTGGGCTGGAATGCTTGGTTATGCTCTTAGTCATAATATTAACTTCAATATATTTGTTTTTGCATTTAGGTGACCACACACTATACTTCAGGATGTTTTTAGTTAGACTAGTTTTAGTGTCAGTTCACACCTGACGATATCAAACCACACTTAGTCATACTAGACTAGATCAGTCCATATTAGATTAGACTAAACTTCGATAATAATTGTAAAATGCATATAAAAACAATTTAGTCAGATCAGACTTAGATAGACTAATTTGACCACATCAGAAAATTACAGTCTAATTAAGAACATCTTTAGTCATATTTTTCTAAATAAAATTTTATTTCAGTAATACTTTAAAAGAAATCTCAATACTATTTCCATGTTTTATTTTAAAAATATACTACTTTTAAAAATCTCAATACTTTGTGAATAGTTAAGGGACAAACTAAATTTAAAATTAGCAAATTTTGATATTTAGGAGGTTTTTAATTGGTAGATTTCCCTAAATAGGAGTAAAAAAGTTTGGAAATTCAAAAATAGGAGTATCAAGTTTTTTATTCCTTGAATAGGAGTAAATTTCTGCCAAGTTTGGCATTACTAGGCATTAAAATATGGCATTTTTTCCCAAACTTAGCAGATTACTCCTATTCAGGTAATAAAAAACATGATACTCCTATTTTGGAATTTCAAAACGTTTTTGCTCCTATTTAGAGCAATTTCAATTTGACTATTATCAATTTTAGACCGATTAGATGTACAAGACTAGATATAAATAGACCAATCAAACGACTTCAATAATTGCAACATACACATAAAACAAACATCTATATTAGACTTAACTCTAAACTGAGCAAATCATACAAAAGTATAAAGTTACAGTCCACTTAAAAACTTCTATAGCCATATAATCGTAAATATTTTTTATTTCAGTAATACTTTTGAAAAACCCTTAAAATCATTTCCATGTTATAACTTTATAAATATTTTTTAGAATATTTAAGGGTCGGGGAAAATGAAACCTGAAGTTAACAAAATTTGATACTAGTAAGGACGTTTTTAATCGGACTATTATCATTCCTATCCTAGAAGGATTCAAACATATCAGACCAAAACAATCGAAATTTAACTACGTAGTAAAATACATATACACCAAAAGTTTTCTAGACTACTAGCAGTTGGATGTGAATAAATCACATTTAAATTGACGAGACCAGATTGACTGAAACGGATTTGACCAAATCCAATTGTTGGAGGCATTCGATCCTTGCACCAATCTTGTTAATTAAGGAAATCAATTCAATCCAAATAAAATCACTTAACCAACCGAACATGAACACTAGAGGGAAAGGATAGTACGAAGTACTCCCTCCGTCCCGGAATTATGTTCATTCTTTCCTTTTCTATCCGTCCCAAATTTATCTCCTTTTTCCCTTTTTGGTAAAGAATATGTGATTCACAATCATTCTTACACATTTCTCTCTCCTCTGCATAACTCTCCACCACACAAATCTCACTATCTTAAAACTCGTGCCCGGTCAAAACCGGAGTTAAATATGGGACGGAGGGAGTATATGAATACACTTAGAATTTGGACATGCAAACGCAATTTTTTGATTTCTAAATTAACACTTTATTTATTGTTAAAATAAAATAAAATTGAGAAATTAAAAATGTTTTCACTTTAGACGATAGTACAGAGTACTAGATTTAAATAAATCAGTTCACTTAAGATCAAAGTAGACTTAAATAACAATAATAATAATAATAATATTAATAATAATAATAATAATAATAATACATAGTAATAAAGTATACATCATACTCCTTTCGTCCCGAAAAAGTTCACCAAATTGACTTTTCTTGGTCAATGACAATCAACAATGAATAATGATATTTTTTAATATGAAATTATTTTATATATGAAAATTATATCAAAATGTTTCTTATTCAAAATATATTCATAAAAGTCCATAATTTATAAATTATATACAAATATAATAATAAAATCATTGTCCAAAGTTCACTATTATCCAATCATATACTCCCTCCGTCCCGTTGGAATGTTCCCGATTTGACCTACACACATATTAAGGAAATAAACTTATCAGGGGGTAAATTTTACTGTTTTGACACTATTTCGACACTGTTTCGACACTGTTTGGCACTGTTTCGACACTGTTTGACACTGTTTTGCACTATTTGACCCTGTTTTGATGTAGGATAACTTTACATTTAGAGAAATGGGAACTTTCCAACGGGACATCCAAAAAAGGAAAGCAGGAACATTCCAACAGGAGGGGGTATTAATAGATATAGTAGTTGAGATCGGACTACACCATCAAACTTATAAAGAGAACATATCACAGTGAAAAATTGTTAAAACAAAACGACAAGAAAGTCGGTACAAAGTACTGCACAAATTATATATAGGGCTTCAAATCAGAGTTCATGCAAACGACCTAACTTCATGATACCACAATTTTACCACGAAGAGTACTTAACTTACAACGAATTAAAATCACATAAAATATAGAAGAGTCCGGCAAACTACTAGAAATCGACGTACTTTAATTCTGTTGATGTTGAACGAGGACTTATATGCTGTTCGTCATTGATCTTTCGAATATATAAACCCTTCCATGCAGCTAGCTTAGGGTTTGTAAAACCCAGCTTTTGAGATCACAGAAAATGGCTGGCTGACGAAGATGAAGACCGAACTGAAGAAGATCAGTTGAACTGGCCGGAAAATCCGCCGCCAGTCCATGCCTTTCTTCCTCCGTCGGAACCAACCCAGAATTGGTTATTCCCCATACTACCCAAAAACGGCCTTGTTGAATTGCTATTCAACCCCTGACTTTCTTCCATTTTTCCCGACCCTTCAACTTGAAAGGGGTCTAAACTTGTGGACGGAGCCGGCTCGAAGCCGGCCAAAGAATCCATAAACCTCCACGGCTCCGCATCTCCGGTGAATATGAAACTGCTGCTATTAAAGATACCAAACCCGCCATTTCCAATTGGGCCGCCGACTAGCTGTGGGGTTTGGAAGCGGCTTCCCACACTCGAGCCGCCGCCGCCGATATTATCAATGTAATAGCTCAAGCCGGCTGGATGAAAAGCATCATTGACAAGCGGCACCGGCTGAGAAATGTTGGTGGGAATTCCAACGCTTCCGGAGCTAGTGGGACATGCTCCCCCGGCGGCGGAAGCGTTTCCCACGCCGGTGGTGTCAACGACTTCACTTACTTTCTCCGGGATGGCGGCCTTGACTTGCCCGGATCTTGATCCGCCACCCTTACTCCTCTTGCTTCCACGGCAGTTTCCGCCGACGGGGACATTTCTCATAGCGCCGCCTCTAGTCCAGTAGCGGCGGCAGGCCTTGCAGAAGTGCCTAGGCTGCATCAAGTTGTAGTTGTTGAAGTAACAAAATTTGGTGCTAGTTGAATCACACCGAGGGCACTTCAACCCGTTTTCAGGCATCGGAATTCGCGCTAGCCGGGCACGATCCACCATGGAGCAAGGGCGGATGGAGCCTTGCCTGCCACCTCCAGCCACCTGAGACGGCGGAGGTGGTGGGTGGGTCGATATCTGACGGTTTTCAACTCCAGATTCTTGATGATTGTAAGGCTTCTGTAATTAAAAACCAATGATTTAAAATGAAATCAAGAATAGAAAGTTGTGAAGCAAATCAATGAAGCTGCATTTGAGAGAATAAACATGGATGGTGTATATAATTTGTGTATGATTTAATAATTATTCTATAAATCTTCACAAGCTTACCCAATAAGAAATTCAACATGTGCGGACTACGGATTGGAGCAGTAGTATATATTTCAAGTATATTCAGCAAAAAAATTAAAGAGTTTATGTATAAAGATCTATAGAAAGCAATCCAAGTAGGAATAAAAATTTGAATTCCAATTTTAAAATCTTCTTTTTGGAGTTGGGATGAAAAAGATCTTCCTTAGACATGAAGGGAGAGAATTAAAGAGAAATGATTAAATTGATAAAGAACCTCGGCTAACTCACCTGGTGCAAATTTGATTGATCTAAATAGACAGGAAGAGAAGAGAAAACCATTGAATTTGCTCTTTCTTTCTTTCTTCGGTGATCTCTTTACTCTTTGCTCTTTAGCTTTAATAAAGAGAGACGGATTGTTTTGGAAACATGTATGGTGGAGACTGGAGAAAGAAATGGTCTAGCAAAGAGAGAGGGGGCAGAGAGAATACTAAACTAGCAAAAAGAGAAAGGGAAAAAGAAGATGCAGGAAAGAAAATTAAAGCAGATGAGGCATAGAGGATCATATGATATGATACCCTAACTTTACTTAAATGTAACAATTTCTTATCCTGTATAATTATCAGCTTCTATCTTCCTTTCCTTTTTGTTTTATTAGAGGTTACGTTTCTTTCATGTTTACTCGGTGCAAAGAAACAAAGATTTTGGCTTGGACTTTATTCTTTCGCACGGATTAGGCACGGATACGTTAAATTCATGTCAAGTTCTCTGTCAATGTCGTTTCATCACCAGGTATTTGGCACATCCCCGCACCAAAAATATGTTACGATCCGTGCCAAATTCGATCAATTCGCGTGCCACATTCGTGCCAATATCATTATTTTATTGTAGTGACTATTCCTTCCCCTCCTACTTTTGTCGCGTTTTGATTACTTCTTTTTTCAGTTCCATTAATTTTGTTTCATATCACATTGAGTAATATTTAGGTGGCTAACATTTATTCTTACTTTACTTACATTTTATTTCATTCTTTTTTGTCTGAATGTTAGTGAGACGGATGTAATATAACTCTTAAATACTTTATGTCTACAAAACCTAGTCATATCGATTGACGCCATAGCACAACAACAACAACATTATCTCAGATCAAACTTAAACCCACCAGACTAGACTAGACTTAAAAAGACCAGACCATCAAATTACGGTCCAAACAATGGACAACATTGATAACCGATTTGTTACCTAAGAAAATAGTTAAGGGACTATAAATTTAATCTTGACATTAATTATAGTATACTGGAGTTCTTTAATTTAATAAGACTTAATTAGGGACTATAAATCTTTTTTCTAATTTGATCTGGCTACATCAAATCATGTGATGTGAGTAGGAAATGAGCAAGGGGACTGGGGTATTGTCGCCTACCAACATGCTTTTTCACCCATATATACATAACAAACAAGCACTACGTGTATGATATAGTGCTTTTTCCCCATCATCCCACTAAATTTGGTTAAGTTTCACTTGAAATAGAATATAAAAATAAAAATGTGTTAGTAAATTTTGCATGGAGAAGTGAAAAGTAATATTTGTTACTAATTTGTTATGGATACTTTTAAAAAAAAATGATAGGTTGATTTCGAATTTGCAAAATATGAATGAATTTATTTGAAATTTATTCGTGAAATGAATTTATTCGTGAAATGAATTTATGGCACATTTGAAATTTATTTGTTATGACAGGATGATGGTAAGTATGAAAGAAATCACCATTCTTAAGAACATCCTAGCTCGATCTGAACGTTTTGTTGTAAACGTGCTCTATCTTTTCTGTTCTATTATAGTCTAGTGAGGTGCTAAAACAATTTAAACCGTACATGCTATTAGGTTGAATGATCTAAAAATTTGTGTCTACTGTCAACAATGCCCTTGGCTTGAATTGATTGCAGTATACACTAGTACAAAACCTACTGTAATTTTATTGAGAAAATTCGTTAAATAAAACTAAAACATAATTAAAATGTACAAACAATATCAACATTGTTTTCTCCCTAAAATATGACTCATTCACTCCTAACTGTGAAAATTTTATACTTTTAATAGGATCAAGTTAATAGATATACCATACATATTTTAGGAATAAATTAAAACATAACTACTCATATTTGTACATTTCCCCGTTTTAGTTCGGGTAACTTCTTTAATTTTATTCTTTTACCAATTGATGTTTGCAATTGATAAATTTGTTTATATTAATTAAAAAAGTTAAAAACTTTTTTCATTGTAATGTATTATTTCTATTGGATAATTTCACATCGTCAGCTTTTGTAGTGGGATTTTGCCGGAAATAATACATGCCAATGAAAAAGTCCTTAATTGATAAATTTATTTATTATAAGGTAGATGATCTGCAAGTAAAAAAACTAGAATAATAATGGACACTACAAAAGCTACAAGGCTCAAGAATTGTATCTGAAAATATCTCTAGAATTAAGTGCAAATTAATGTATTTTCACTCATATCTAAAATATATATTGTGGGTTCAAAATATCTCCATGAAAAGCATAAATTTACTCGTCCATGGTGCACTTACTCTTGATATGCAAATAAACTCATTCTCCTTAAGTAGTCAAACGGAAAAACAATACTCCGTACTTTATATGACTTGCTTCAACCTTAAGTAATACATAGGTTTAAGATCTGCATGCCCACGTATTGAGTAATTTCTTTCAACGAACTCGTCACATACTCACATATATATTCTTTTGTTAGTTTGTACTCCCTCCATTTTTACACTTTCCATTTTTGATAGTACCACAATTATCTTTACACTTCTTATTTACCTTACAAATCTACACCAAACAGTGTCAAACAGTGTCAAATAGTGTCTAACATTGTCAAACTCCTTAATATTTGTGAAGTCAAATTGTAAAGATCTTTTAGAATCGGAGGGAATACATGTTAATTAAAATATTTAATTAATTAAAATAACATATGATGAGTATTATTTTAAACTAATTATTGTTTTTGCGTGTGCAAAAACTCAAATTCGCACAAAAGACAACAGTATTTGATCAAAATTAAAAGCATTGGACTGCCACGTAGCGTTCGAAATTGACTAGTCAACAGAAGACTACAAAGAGAATATTATGATGAAGAAAATGATTAGTGCGTTAGTAAAATTGGTGGGTTGTGACTCCTCATTTGCATAGCTAGAAAGCAAAGACGGCGGGGCGGGCATGCATGGTAGCTATATATGCGTAGTACGTACAAAGTATATATATTGCACGCTGGATGAAATCTGTCGTTATCTATAATAATAATTCTCGAAATAGGATTAAAACAGTTTCAAAATTCTATGACTTTCATGTTTTTTATTCCCAAACTAGGATTAATTACTGCCATGTTTAGAAAATACTGACATGTTTGAAGTCTGGCACTGCCAAAACATGACAGTAATTAGTCCTATTTTGGGAATAAAAACATGACATTCCTATTTTGGAATTTTCAAATTGTTTTAATCCTATTTCAGGTAATATCTCAGAATATTAACTGAACGACTTATATGCATAGAACAATTTCGTGCGGCTAAGATTTGATTTTGTAACTTAAAAATTTTGTAACTCTAGATTTCCAATTGTTAGGAAATTGATGTAACGTACCTCGAAAGTACGGCAGCGGAAGTTTAAAATTTTTCCAAACAGATCTTCCCTGATTATGACAAAATAACGAATATGATAATAATAACAGATCTGAGTTAGAACTTATAGATCTTCCAGCCTAGCGGTGATAATCCTTGACCTTTGGTATCCACGTGATTTCTCCTTCCCGAAAGAACGGTTAGATCTCCCTAAGAGAAAGGCTAGGAAATCTCTTCGCAAGGAAATAAACTTTTAATACTGAATCTGAAAACGGGTCTACAAATTATGAAGGAGGAAGATGTATTTATACTAGTTCGAAACTAGTTTCCCAATCACAATGAAAGTCTTTCTAATTAATGAGTTCTAATCCTACTAGGACCAATACTCCTAATTAATTAAATAAGTAGATAAAACAAAACAAAATAATAATAATAATAATTGAGATGTGGCTGCACGCCACTTTCTAATTATTATATATTAATATTTATTTTATTTACTTTTCTTTTAATTCCAAATTACAAAAGAAAATATCTACTTTATTTAATAATAAATACATCTTAATTAAGTATGATAAATCTAATTTATCTTACTTAATTAATTCTATCAAATAGAACTCTCCTTCAGCTTCATGAATTAAATATGTTTAATCTAATTAATATTTAATTCATTTTCAGTATTACGAATTAAATATTATTTAATCCAATTAATAATATTTAATTCCTTCTAACAATTCAATCGGAAGGTATAATCACTTGTTGTGTGACCCATAGGGCCTTATATATTAAGCACTAATCAAATTAAGGTCTTAGCGAATCCCTAGACGATTCTCCAGACAAACTTAATATATAAGGACGTTTGCGAGGACTATACAAACTCCTTGTAATATAGAGCTCATAGTGATACGGTCCTTTCATTCAACGAACATTCAACTAAGTCTAGAACATGATATTGTGTCTATTCCAATAACTCAGTCTCTGTCTCTCAATCTTTCTACATGATCCATAACGATCATATTCGATATCCAAAACCAATATATCTTTGCATTGGCCAATGACTTTATAATCCATCTAGATATGAGAAGTAGAATGTTCTCTCTTAATCTATTACGAGGAATGAATCCTTTCTTGGTTCAACTACTACTCCATGTGCTTCGTGATGCACCCAACACATGCCGTATCTACTCCGATTGGAGTGCAAGAGTTGGTCATGGTCAAAGTACATCACTCCGCACATGTAGTACGTATTGACCTCAAGTCGGAGGACTATTACACTACTCTATACGTCGATAATCCCATAGACACATGAATAGAACTTATCAAATGGTTTCTCGGTGGGTATGCCAATATTCTCTAAAATATCTATGTGACCATCATGAATTACAGGAACTCATAGTTGTGAGATCAACTATACTTTCTAAAAATATGATGCAGTCCACATACCAATCTTATCGCATATCATCAATATCCCATTCTTGATGATCATTGATTGAGGCTATTTTAGGACCTTATGTTATATCATATAAGCTCTCACTTACTTAATTATTGACAACATAAGTCCAAGAGAACACAATTATGAATAGATATTGGCAATCGAAATACTTAATCATCAATGTGAAATACCGTTTATATCAAATAATACCGTTTAGGGAAAAATCAGATCATATTTAATTTACTATTTATTAATTTGACTTTGAAATGTTCCACTTGTGCAATCTGTTGCAACGTGGAGAGCATTTCGTTGCTGTATCAATATGTTGAAAGGTGGGTTTTGACATTGTTCCTACATGGATGAACACTCCAATAATGTATTGCCATGTGTCACAATTTTTTTAATGTTGACACCCTCACATTAAAGATGCTCTTAGTCTCCCAAGGAAGCTTGTGCTTCGCTTGTACGCAGTAACACCTTC